AAATTCCTTTACATACTACAACATGAATGGATCTTGGAAACATTATGCTAAGTAAAAAAAAAAAAAAAAACACAAAAGGACAAACATTGTATGATTCCACTCATATGAGATATCCAAGATAGGCAAATTCATTGAGACAGAAAGTAGACTAGAACCAGGAGCTGAGTGGAGTGCGGTGGGTAGTACCGTTTAATGACTGCAGAGTCGTTGCTTGGTTGATGAAAAAGTTATATTTCTGGAAACAGACAGTGGTGACGGTTAAGCAACACTGTCTTGGTCTTTTTCGTTGTTGTTGTTTTTGAGACAGACTCTCGCTCTGTCTCCCAGGCCGGAATGCAGTGGCACAATCTTGGCTCACTGCAACCTCTGCCTCCCAGGTTCCAGCAATTTTCCTGCCTCAGCCTCCCAAGTAGCTGGGACTACAGGCACATGCCACCATGCCCAGCTAATTTTTGTATTTTCACTAGAGATGGGTTTCACCATGTTGGCCAGGTTGGTCTCAAACTCCTGACCTTGGGTGATCCACCCACCTTGGCATCCCAAAGTGCTGGGATTATAGGCATGAGCACCCCGCCCGGCCACAACACTGTCAATGTACTTAATGACACTGCATTGTACACTTAGAAATGATAAATGTTAGCTGGGTGCAGTGGTGCATGCCTGTAACTCCCAGCTACTTGGGAGGCTGAGGCAGGATCATTTGAGTGTCCAAGAGTTCAAAACCAGCCTGGGGAGCATAGTAAGACCCTGTCTCAAAAAAAAAAAAAAAAAAATGATAGGCCTGGCACAGTGGCTCACACCTATAATGATTGTAAACAATCCTCCCACTTTGGGAGGCAGAGGTGGGCAGATTACCTGAGGTCAGGAGTTAAGAGACCAGCCTGGTCAACATGGTGAAACCCCATCTCTACTGAAAATACAAAAAAATTTAGCTGGGCATTGCGGCACATGCCTGTAATCCCAGCTATTCGGGAGGCAGAGGCAGGATAATTGCTTGAACCTGGGAGGCAGAGGTTGCAGTGGGCCATTGCACTCCAGCCTGGGTGACGGAGCATGCACACAAAAATTTTACCAATTTTAAGTGATGTATATTTTACCACACATACACAAAATAGATGGTACGTGGGGTTGAAGTGGAGGGGTGGCTTCCGTGGCGTTATGGCGTTGAGGAAGGTGGCATCCCTCAGACTATGTCCTTTCCTCTGTCTCTTCCATCTCTTGACCACATCCTTTGTCTGTCAGTTTTTGCCTGAGGACTGCAGCTGCTGCATTCTCCCCTCTGGCAGCCTCGTCAGCACCAGTGGTCCCCTTCCTCACCTCACCTCTGTGCTCTCTGGGCTTAGGGTTCCCTTTGATCACTCACTACCAAACCACCGTCTCCCTACTACCACAGAGCTTCATCTGGGATTAGACCTGCTGGGGGAGCACTTGGCAAAACTCAACCCACAGGGCCTTCCCCTGCCTAGCAAGACTGTGCTGTCAAATTTATTCACATGTGGCTCTGGTGAAGACGAGCATGCCATCAGCCTACGAGGGCACTGTTATGTTATTATGCCCATTTTACAGATGAAGAAACTGAGAAGTCAAACCATTAAGCTGAACCCAGTTTGCTTTGACCACAAATCCAGCCCACATAGGCGCAATGATGGATGTGATGAGTAAGGCTGGGATTTTGTTCTGTATTTGGGAGTTTTGTTTGCTTGTTTGCTTGTTTGAGATGGAGTCTCACTCTGTCACCCACGCTGGAGTACAGTGGCATGATCTTGGCTCACTGCAACCTCCGCCTCCTGGGTTCAACTGATTCTCCTGCCTCAGCCTCCCATATACTCAGGAGTTTGACCTTTATTCTTTGGATAATGAGGAGCTAGCCTAGCACCTGGTCCTAGGAGGTGTTCCATAAAACGACCTATTGATTTGTGCTTATTATCTGTCTCCCTCCAGTGGAATGTAAAGGAGATGGGGGCACAGACTTTTTGTTTTGTTCCCTGCTGTGAACATGCCTGGAACCTTCTATGAGCTCAGTAAGCAAGGAATGAGCTCAGTAAGCAAGGAAAGAAGGAAGGAAGAGATCTTGAGATAGTAACAGCAACCTAAGCATTTTACACACATCATCTTAATCTCCAAACAACCTCTCTCATTTTTTGAGACAAGTCTCGCTCTGTCATCCAGGCTGGAGTGCAGTGGCGTGATCTTGGCTCACTGCAACCTCCGCCTCCTGGGTTCAACTGATTCTCCTGCCTCAGCCTCCCATATACTCAGGAGTTTGACCTTTATTCTTTGGATAATGAGGAGCTAGCCTAGCACCTGGTCCTAGGAGGTGTTCCATAAAACGACCTATTGATTTGTGTTTATTATCTGTCTCCCTCCAATGGAATGTAAAGGAGGTGGGGGCACAGACTTTTTGTTTTGTTCCCTGCTGTGAACATGCCTGGAACCTTCTATGAGCTCAGTAAGCAAGGAAAGAAGGAAGGAAGAGATCT